CATCCAAATCCTTAGTCATATGCAAAATCCGAATCCCCTCCCCATTCGGACACGTTACCACATCCACCCTCCCACTCCTCACATACCCACACCTCTCATACAACTGCACTCCACTAAGCGTCGCCCCCATTTCCAGTCTCTTAAACCCGTCCGTCTCACCGGCCTTCCCTTCCCGTGCCCTCGCCTCACAATACCGCATCATCATCGTGCCCAGGCCTTTCCGCGCATACTGCGGACTCGTGAAGATTGCTCGTATGCTCGCGCGGTCAACGGCTGGATCGCGTTTTTCTGGCATGCGCAGCGGAGAGGGCGCGGAGTCTCCGCCGTACAGTGTTTTGCGGAAGGACCAGCCGCCGCAGGCGCAGATTGTGAGGGGGCGGTTGAGGGGGTGGAGGATGTAGTATGTTCTGTTTGCGAGATCATCAACTTTACTACTCTTACATTCTTCCCCTTCCACTACCAACTACCAAGTTTTCCGGATCTGGTCGTCGGCAATGTGGAGAAGAGGGGTACATATCCCCCTCCCCTCTCTTCCGCAAATGGATAATGCTTGATGACATGATAGTTGATGACGGACGCCTTATTCTCATCCATTGATTATGATTGGAATTATACGTACTGGTCTTTGATGAGAACGGAATCTGGACCGAAGAGATAGCCTATCGAGCCGTCGAGTTCGGCGTCTGTGTAGTACCCTTTTCCCAGGCTGCGGAGTGAGGATGCGATCATGGATTGCAGGGAGGGTATGTCGGCGGGGGTTGCGGGGCGGAAGGTGTATTGGTGGGTTGCTTCTTGGGCTTTTGCTGAGGCGACGGGGTCGTGCATTTTGGAGGTCGGAATTGTTCTCTTCTTCTTTTTAAGTTTTGATTGAAAGTTGTATAAGTGTTTTGCTGCGTAGAGGTATCTTTCTTGGTTGTTGGTGCGTTCCGCCCAATCATACGCTATCGTTATCGCGAGGCTTGGGAGTGGGATGCTTTCCGACGGAAACCATCCCTGTTCCGCAAGGTTGGTTGCTTCGTATCGATCATTCCGAAGTCTATGGCGCGTCTTTCTTTCCAACGGTTACACGTACGAGTCGTAGAGGTGTATGTTCCTCGTTCATAACGCGCATCTCATAAGGTTTGCCCGACGGCGCGCTTTGACCACCGCGCGCCGGTTGATGTCGTTATTCTAACTTTCCGCCTCTGGCACCCACGTGGCACCGTCGTTTTCCCCCAACAACTTTCTTACAACGACTCTCGAATGACTCCAACCCCCGGCACTGACCGCAATAGACCTGACAACGAAGATTGTGCAATGTCAATGTCGACCCGACCCGGCTCCAGGCCCAGAGTGAACAACGGCGCGCCGCACTTAGCGAGATGAACAGTCTGGAAAAGCGAACGCGAGCATCGACATGTTCATCACAATCAATGCCGTTTTCGCTCCGAGTCATATTGCCAGAACTTCAGGATTGGAGCGACTCAGCGACTCAACGGTTAATACCAGGCGTAAGGTTAAAACGATCGCGCCTTCCTTGCGAGTCATCCAGCGCGGGCAGGTGATGCGGATGAATGGGGTTGCAGAAAGATCATGGAAGCATCGATCGCAAGATCCAAGATCATCAACAACGGCAACACCCTGCCATGGCTGATGCTGTACCTGCTTCTTTTGCTCCCAAGAACTGTTCGTTTTTGGCGTCCGCAGGATGAAGCAGGGTATAGAGTCGTGCACCAAGGGTGTTGCGATGGCTAGCACCCTTTGGACAGATTGCATCAACATCGCCTGCAGCATCCTGACAGCAGATTGTCGTGGGTGGAGGCGAAGCTCGTCTTACATGCCCAGTCTGCCATTATCGCACACACTAAACACATCCATCTATTGGAGTACCTTTGTGAAAAGATTTTCAACGTCACCAGACGTCGCAGTCAAAGGCAAGAAGGCATGGCTTCCATGTGCGGCGCATTCCGTTCACAACGGTCAAGTTGCGATGCTGGCGTTGCCAGCGTTTGGCCATCTTTGGTGCGCTTGCTTTTTGTATCACGTTGGGTGTTGAAACAGCTAAGAGCGTCAGGCGAATTTAAAATAGCACACGGTCCATAACGGGACGCTCCCGTGACGTCGATCAGCCCTATACCAGCAACGGCAGCAAATATGCGAAAGCTTATTTGCGTTTGGAAGCGTTCTTGACAACGAACAGGAACGTCGCTATATGCAAAACCGCAGTATCATGCAGAAATACCTCCATCCGCAGACTGCCCAATCGCATCCTATGTCGAGAGTTTTCCTCGCATTGCTTGCGATGAAGTCATTCCGCCTTTTCGAGACAGCCGTTTTCTTGTCAGCTCAACCTCCTACACTGACAGCTCGGAGACGGACGTCACTATGGCCAATGATTCACAGCAGAGTTCACAGCGTACCGAGGCACGGCAGGCACGTTGCGGACGCACTAGGAACATCCTCGCGTGGGGCACTGCCCTGTAGCAAGATCAGCCGGGGTGACTAAAAAGTAAAGTCCAAGCGCATGAATGATGATAGTGCTTTTTCGGTAGTCGGATCACCTGAAGGTCCTGAGTGGTTGACCGTACAGGTTGTTCGAGTCGAGTCGGCTCGAAGTGGGACTGGTATTCCTCCGTACCCCATCTCCACCATGACTCTCATGAGAACTCAACCTACTTGGCAGTACTTGGTAGCAGTCGCATGACTGGGGCTTGTTGTCCTTGCAATACACCGATGCAGAGTTGGCCAATCCAGTGTCGAGTCGACGAACACCTTCCTCGGCTGCGATCTTAGTTACCGGTTGTTTCCACTTCATCGATGAGCCCACTGATACCTTGGCGGTGCCTGGCACTATGCCCTGTCTTCTCGACTTGATCGTCGTCATGGGTAGATTGAGCTTGGCCATATGCCTGGCCGAACATCTTAGGATTATAAGAAGGTAGGACGCCGGCTTCAGTTGGAGATCATCATCAGTCAACACTGTCATCAACACTACAGTTCACAGGCCCGGTGCTTACATTCGCTCCTACCTTTTTCGCTTCTTCTCTATCTTCTTGTCAATAGCAGATTCAACTTTCATCCCACTTCCCCCTATCCATCCACCAGTCAACACCATGTACGCCAAATCCGTCCTCATCGCCGCCCTTGCCGGCTTCGCTTCCGCCAGCCCCATCGAAGTCGAGAGCCGCCAGCTCTTTGGTGGTGGAATCGGCGGCACAGGATCCAGCTCGAGCGAGTTCAGCCGCGGCGGCTGCAAAGACGTCCTCTTCGCTTTCGCCCGTGGCTCCACCGAGATCGGCAACATGGGAACCGTCGTCGGACCGCCCACCTCGAACGGCCTCAAGAAAGAATTCGGAGCCGACGCCGTCGCGACCGAGGGAATCCCCTACGCCGCCTCCATCGGCACCAACGTCCTCCCCGGCGGCACCGACACACGCTCCAAGAACATGATGGCCGACACCCTCAACAGCATGGCGCAGAAATGCCCAGACTCCGTCATCGTCGCTTCAGGCTACTCCCAAGGCGCAGCCGTCTGCCACCGCGCCATCGAAGGCCTCGACCCCGCCGTCATGCAGCAAATCGCCGGTGTCGTCACGTACGGCGACACCCAGAAGCTGCAGGACAGGGACCAGATCCCCAACTTCCCCAAGGAGAAGGTCAAGATCATTTGCCAGCCTGGCGATGCTGTTTGCCTCGGTACGCTGAGCGTGCTGCCTGCGCACTTGACATATGGTGTCCGCGCGGATGAGGGCGTGGCTTTCCTTGTGCAGCAGATTAAGGGTGTGCAGGCGAAGATCAAGGCGAGGAATGCGAAGAGGGAGGCGGAGCAGATGGCTGGAGACGCTGAGTTGCAGGCGCAGGCTGCAAAGATGGACGCTGAGATGCAGGAGGCGATTAAGCAGGCTGCTCAGGAGATTGAGGCTTAAGGGTCAATCTGGGGACTGGCTTGATGGGATTTGGGGGTGGATACATGTGTGGCTGGATCACTTGGGGGATTTTTATGACCTTCTTTACTTTCTTTTATCTTTTCTTCTTGGATTGTAGTGTTCTCTTACGAATTTGATTGAATTGGGCCCAGATCAATTCTGCCTTTCTGATGTTTATGTTAATGTCTGTTCGTTTATGATACTTGATGATGATGACTACGCTGCCCAGATAGGCAAGTTACGATAAGGTGTTGATTATGGCACCGTCGCTTGCCCCGACTGCCCCGAATGCTCCCCGCTGACTGCCCCGCTTTGGATAAATCGCCGCAACGACTCAGGCTTCAGCCACCACTTTTGTGAGAAGGCAACACAAGCGACAACTTCGATGCGTGGAAGTTTCATTGCGCCCTCTTTCTGTTCAGAATTCTCTTAAACATGTGTTCGTCAAACTTGCAGCATGAGAAGCTGAAGGTACCTGGATGACATCAATCCCAAGCGCATATCATACTACGAGCCTAAAGGCGCACGAACAAGGATATCCAACCCTTTCATCACAAAGAAGAGAGACTATCTGGGTTAAGGCAACGTTCAGTGTGCTATCAAACCAAATCGCTGTCGACAGCTGACGCCCCGCCGCCCAGTCGTAGAATTCCATGGTCACGCCGTACGACATGCATACTAGCCTTGTACACGTGTACAAGATGCAGACAAAGGTACGGGATTAGAGAGTGCCCTGATGCTAGTCGTAACCATAGATTGAGCATATCCTCTGGCCATTCACATCAAGCCCCGTTACACCATCACGCAGTGAGCCAGAAGCGGCCTCCAACGGCGCCGGCAGAAGAAGCAAATCGCCAATCACCATGTTACGCAGCATACCAAGAGGAGCCGAAGCGAGACTAGGTAGTCTGCCACCATGGTGGAGTTACGCAGTAGCTCGCGGACGATCATTCGCTGGGAGAGTAGCTGCGAGGACCATTTGAGCACATACACTCTCCTACCTCTATCACATCAAGACGAACTACTACACTACTTACCAGCGCGAGATCTTTTAAACACCGTCTCTCAGACAATACCAAACACCACACACCCAACATGCCCTCCCCACCACCCACGCCCGAAGAAGCCCAGCGCCGCCAAACCGAAGCGCGCGCAGCCGTCACGGCATCCCTCGCCAGCGTCGGCGCGTCCGTCGACAACGAGATGCGCACGCGCACCGCCGACCTGCACGCCAACTCTGCGGCAATCGCAAAGCAGGAAAAGGAGCTAGCGAAGCAGACGGCGGCGCTGGCGAAACAGACTGCCGAGTGGGATAAACTGCTTCAGGGCGGCACGAAGAAGTTGAATGAGGTGGGGGATATTCAGAACTGGGCGGAGATGATTGAGAGGGATTTGCTGGTGTTGGAGGAGACGGTTAGGTTGGTGGATGGGAAGGGGAGGGAGAGGGAGGAGTCGGCGAGTGGGACGGGGGGTTGGTAGATGATACCAAGACATGGTATGGAACTTGTGGCGACGGTCGTGTTGTGATTGATGAAGCGGTGTTGAGTAATATATAACATTGTTATCACGTCTCCGGATTGCATACTGCCTTGCGGTGGTGAGATAGTGACATGTCTGCTATCGGAAATTATATGGGACGACGGATGTCAGTGTAATGGACCCATGAATTAATGTACGAGCGTTCTAACAGGCCCAGCAACCGCAATCGTGATACCGTCTCGTCACCGTCTGCAGAGAGAGTGACGACAGCGCGTCGCTTTCGTGACGCTCTAAGCTTGGATCATCGGGCACGGACCACGTCTCCATGATTGCGGAAACTGCTACTTGCGGTGCTCGTAGCTGGAGCTCCAACAACACCTTCACCTCACCCACCACCCGCCTGCCGACACAGAGGCTCCCGCTATTTCACGGTTGGCACCTGCACCCTGCCACAAATCTCCCAACTAGCTGCCCAAGATCCACGCCTGCACCGTGGAATCTACCAGCAACCCACCACCCACGCCTCTCCGCCGCCAACCCGCCCGCTTGTAGCCATCGCAACATTTCGCGGCGACCGCCTTTGTGTGCAGACCCACCGACGACATACATCATCACGACCCCGCTTTTCGCTCCACTAAAGCCGCAGCCACTTTGGCTTTCTGCGCTTCCGGTAAAGGCAATCGCAGCCTGCCTCTAGACATCCTCTCACGCCACGGACACGGCGCCGTGCTATCCGACCGCCTACACGCAACCACTGCTCGCTCGACACCGGCTTCATAGAGCTTGCATGTGAGCAAGCTTCGTCTTCCGAGCGCCCGGCGCAAACATGAAGATCAAGAAACAGGCTACATCGCGACATGAGTCGACTCTGGTAAGCTGCAGCTCCCCGCGCTCCCCGCCCTCGCCACTGCTAACACAGCGCGTAGTCGCCGATGATAGCAGACTTTGTGAAGGCGACCGAGTCAATACCGCTGTTCCAGCTGCCCGCACATCTCGCCTCGTTCCCCAGGCACTGGCCCTTTCCCCGCGGTGACGCATATCACTGGATCCCCGCCCTGAACCGCTTCGACCACATCCTCGAGCTCTTCAACAAGGAATATGGCCTGGTAGACGGTCCCCAGACACAGGCCTTCCAGCGCCGGCTGCTGCTCAAGGGCGATGCCGAGGAAGGAAGCACCAGCTCCGAGCAAACCACGACCGATGCCGTCCTGGATACCCTGCACGTATCCCGGGATGGCGATCGCGAGCTGGTCGAGCAGATCCTCAACTTCACGCGGATGCTCTTGGAGAACTGCGGGAACCGTAGTCTGTATTCCAGCAGTGAGCGCCTGGACAAGCTGCTAAACACGACCTCCACATCCCTCCTCAAGGCCACGCTTCGTCTAGGCCATCGCCTCGCTCAGCGCTATGCTGCTGCACGCATGCGCTTGGCCCCGGCCACCCTGCACCCGTCGCTTCTCTCCAGCCACTACAACATCAACCTCGACAAGGTCCAGAAGCTGGCTAGCCCATTCGCGAAGGGCCCCGCGACAGCCGTCCCTGTCTTTGGCACTCCAGCAGGTAAGGGCAAGGACCGCGCTGGCAGCACTGATAAGGTCAGTCCGTCCGACCTAGTCGCTCTGTACTCTCTGTCCGAGTCATCGATGAAGCAGGAGTTCGGAGGCGTCCTCATCTCGTACTATGAGCCCACCCCCTCGTCCGAAGCAGAGAGCGGCAAGCAGGCATCTACAGAGGCACCCGCGCCCACCACGCCGACTCCCGTACGGAGGACGTCCAGCATGGGACCCAACCGAACACCGAGACAGCCCCAGCCTGCACCCGCTACCGATTCGCCGAGTACACCTGCCTTCACTCCCGGACAACCCAGTAATACAACGAACGGGCCCAAGACTTTCCAGCTGTCAGCGGACAAGGTACACAAGACCGACATACACGACCTCATAAAGGAAGGACTCGCAAGTCTACCGGAGACGGTGCATTACGAATTCCTCCACAAGCTCCGCATCGCAAAGATGTTCAACGAGGGACGCACAGGGCGCGACAGTGCAGTTGCCATCCGCCTACTGTCCATTGCGAACATCGGTTACGTACACGTCGAGAAGGAGTTTATGGCCAAGCTGGGTCAGCAAGATGCAGACGAACCACGCCGGTTGCAACTTGCCTACCAACTTTCTGAGCTCGTCCATCCGCCTGGAAACGGCGAGACTGGCATTTCGATGGAGCTGCAGACATATACCATGAGCGCGCTCGAGGCCCTTGCAAAGCACAAGTCTAAAGCGGCTGATGTTTGCACCGCTCTTAGTGTCAACGTCAACCACGGTGTGTTGTTCTACGTTGTGCGCAAGCTGGTCGCTGGCCTTGGCGAGGAAACTGGTAACCCGGATGATATCGAGGAGGACGAGTGGCGCGACGCTTTGTTCTCTCTGCTGAACACTCTGCCGACGTCTCAAACACGCACTGGTGAGCAGATGGTGGCTGCGGGGCTCCTGGAAATTCTTGTCGATGTCCTCAAGCTGCGTACAGCAAAGGCAGAGCGCAACCACCCCAAGATTCTCAACTTCCTTGATACCTTTGTGTACAACCTGCGAGACGCCTTCTCAGCCCTCGTGGCCGCGAAGGGGCTCGAAATCATTGCTGATCTGATGCAATACGAGGTCGACACCTCCAAGAAGCTCGCAGAGGAGGACAAGGGCATGCCCAAGGAGTACAAGACTCAGCTTACTGATTATCAAATTCCGTTCTATCACCAGCAGAGTCTACGCTGGCTTTTCAAGTTCCTCAACCACATGATGTCGCATACAGGCGGAAACTTCGATCGTTTGATGCGAAACTTGCTTGACTCACAACAGCTGCTCAGCAGCTTGCGCACTGTGCTATCAAACGCCAAGACGTTCGGCTCAACTGTTTGGAGCATGGCTGTCACGATCCTTACCAGCTTCATCAACAATGAACCCACTAGCTACCAAGTCATCGCCGAGGCAGGTCTGAGCGATGCGTTCTTGGAGACAGTCGCGGGAGAGCCTGCTTCAGAATCGACGGCTGCAGCCAACAATGACCCCAGTGCTTCAACACCAACGACATACGCTCCTAGGGAGGGCGGAAAGCCACTTGCCGAGGGTATCTTGCCTGTAGCTGAAGCCATCTCGACCCTGCCCCCGGCTTTCGACGGTATCTGCTTGGCTGAAGCTGGTATGAAGCTGTTCCAGTCATCGACCGCCCTCCAGCGATTCTTCGAGATCTTCGAGAGCCCTGCTCACATCAAAGCTCTTGACGCTGATACGGAGATGCCTACCCTGATCGGAAACTCTTTCGATGAGCTAGTGCGCCATCACCCGCCTCTCAAGGCACGCGTTCTTGCCTGTCTAAGCGAGCTGATCGCGCGTGTGGTCCAACTTTGCGCCGACAAGGCCGAGAAGGAAGGTGTAGGAGCCAAGCTTTGGACTGAGGATGCTGCTGGAAAGCTCACCGTGGCAGGCGGCCGCCAAGCGCTTTCTGCATCAGGCTCGCAGCAAAGTACAGCTCAAGCATCAGGGACCACAAGCACTGATGTGGAGATGAAAGATGCTGATGAGACTGCTAATGAACCAGTCGATTACAGTCATATCACCGAGACTGAGGACAGCACCAAGGGCCCTACCACCGGTCAGTACATCCGCGTACTCTGCCGTTTTCTCTCTGGGTTCTTCTCAAACCACGCCATGTGCGCTGCATACGTCGAGCTTGATGGTGTAGACTCTATCCTTGACATTTCCAGTCTCCCTTGCTTAGACCCAAAAGCAAGCGAGTATCGCAGCATGTGCGAGCAATTTGGCCATGTCGTCCAGGTACTCGTTGAGCAGAAGCCCCATATTGCGGTGCCTTCTCTGATCAAGCGGACACAAGTGGCCTTGGAGCGCCTGCAACCACTCCTCAATCACACCGGCAAGCAAGCCTTCTTCGCACCTTTCACAAGCACTGGTACTTCCCAGAGTCCAGAGCACATGCAGCAAGGTACACAATACGTCAAAGCACTAGTGTCGGCCCATACCCTCGTCGGAGCCATGACCTTGACCTTCCAGAGCCAGATGTACACCACCCGTTCCTCTCACAACGTTTCTAGTCAAGTCAATCTTGCGGACATGTACGCACGTCTTGTGGACAGTCTCGGAAAGCTGCATCGAAGCTGTGTTTGGGAAGAGCTTTTACTCCAGCGCAACATGCCCACAGAATGGGAGAAGGAGACGCGGATCACCAGTTCTGGTTTCGGCAATGACGAAGCCGACAACGTGTTCCGCCTTGGAAACAGTGCGACCGAACCACCTGCCAACGGAGACGCTGCTGCCTCTGGATCAGCTTCTGAGACTACGGCTCCAAGCCAGAACAGTGCACAGTTCAAGAACACGCAAACTCTCCGCAATCTGCTTAGTAGGATACCCATGGAAGTCGCACCGTTCTTTCAGTCGCTTGGCAAACTACTCTTGTTCCGCCGCAGCCTTGAGGCTTACCAGAGGCAATGTGCAACGGTCGTGTCAGACCAGCTTGCCCAGGCAGTCATTGACCAGCTCGAGTACGAAGGTCCCAAGGAGTCAGAGATCATTGAGGACCGCTATGCGTACTGGATCATCATTCTTACTTCGCTGTCACAGCTTATCGTGGAGGTAAATCTCGATCGATCGCAAGCGTTGACGCTGTTGCTTGTGTCCTTCCGCAACCTCGGTGGATTCGATGTTCTGGCGAACATCCTCAACCAGTTCTACGAATCGGCGCTTGAGATCACCCAGAAGCAGGCAGATGATACTAGTGAGGAGTCAAAGCGAGTGCTCAACCTCTCTCTCGGAGGCATCAAGATCATTCTGGCCTTCTTCTCCCAGATCATCAACTTCAAAGTCATCTCAGAGTCGCCACAGACGTCATCGATGCAAACCCGGCCGGATCGTGATCGGGAGCGGGCTGATCACTTCTTGACTGCTCAGTTCCTCGTTGAGATACGCTATGCCGTTATCGTGCCTGTGGAAAAGATC